AAATATATTTTCTTTCTTTTTAACTTTCATTATTAAACAAAAGACTAAGACAATTTAAATAAACATTTAAGTTGCAACACATTAAACTAGATACTAGGTACATTAGTATGCCTACAAAGGAATGCTAATTGGAATTTAGTAAATAAATTATTTTCATATTAATCAGTAGCTGATTGACAGCTGTCGGGTCGGCATTCGATTCCCAGTCGGGTCTCGTCCAACGTTCCCACATGTCGTATTCAGTACTCGAATTGCTGGGTAAATAATTTATATTCAGTAATATAACAAACAGCTACATACCCATACTCTACCTATCAGTACTCCAATAGAATGTTACTATTGAGTAAAAACATTATATATATAATCATGACTATAACCCTCACTGGACACTGCAAGCTGAATAAGCACATGGCGAAATTAGGGCTCAGCTTAACATCAATCTGCAGATTTCCTAACAGAAGAGGAAACGCCACTACACATCCCATGTGGTTGTAGCCCACTCATGCATAAACAAAATATCTTTGGAAAGTATACATTATCCTGAGGATATAAAAACCATCGCTCCTAAGAAACTCTTCAATTCTTGTCGCTGACGGGTCTAGGTAGCGAACTTTGAATAAGGGCGAGCATGATAGATCTATACAGGTCGCAATGTTATAGGTCTTAGCACATTACAATAGCCCAATAAAACATAGTTATTGTATAAAAGTTTAATAACTTGCGAACTATTTTTAAACTGCTAAAAAAATAAGACTGAAATTTAACAAAAGTAGATAATAGATCTATACAATTAGCAGTATTACAGGTCATAGCACCTGACAACAGCTCAAACCACCCAATAAAAAATATACCTTACCTATTTGTAGACGCAAGCCGAATTGTACCTTTACAGTTTGCAGTTGCAACTGTGAATCAATAGTAGTAGTAGTGTGAATGGATGGATATTTGTTACTCTTCCACGTAAAAACTACTGAATATACCTACATAAAAAAAATTACAATAATATATACTGTTTTAAATTTGACGCGGTCATTATTTATATGTATAATTAGTAAAAATCACGGGATCTTACCACGTTTTATATTTATTTGCTGAGTTCCCGATATTTCGGCAGTGTTTCAACCACCATGATCACGGGTAAACTGAATAGCAGCGGGTAGATGGAAAATAAATCTTTTTATGGGCAGACATATGCGTCTACCTTCACACGTCTTCGTTTGTTGCTACTACTGGAACTCGCTCGATATTCATCTCGGCAAACTGTACTCACAGTATCTTCACGTACATTTAATACACTTTCCGATTGCGTTTTTTGTTTTTGTTTAATTAAATCAATCACTGGATTCCAGGCATTAGAGTGCCTATAACCGTCTTCTCGATTGAAAATTTTATATTTCTGTATTTCATTGGCCTCTCTAACCATCTATCTAACCAACTATCGGAAACTCAGCAAATAAATATAAAACGTGGTAAGATCCCGTGATTTTTACTAATTATACGTACCTATATACAATAATATAACTTGTTCATGTCTTATGTCTTATGGCCTATGACCAGCAGTGGACGTCTTCCGGGCTGCGATGATGATGATGATGAACTTGTTCATCAGAATAACAAATAGGCTATTTCACGCTGGTGAAATCGCGGGCACAGCCAGTATAATGCAATACTATAATATCCCCTGAATAAATTACACAACGCTATCTAGTCCCAAGCTAAGCAAACCTTGTGTTTTGGGTACTGGATAACTGATATAGATACTTAGATTCCTAAATTTTTGTAAATACATACATAATATGCATAGAAAATACCCAGACCGATACAAACCCATCTACTCAATATGAATACAAATATTTACACCGTGCGAGCAAATTGATCCATATTTCGGAGTTATGATGCCAAAGACAATATGTTTTTTATAAGTAGGATGATCATGAAGTTGGCCATTTGTGGCCATAATTGTCTGACTGTCTATGTAGGTAATTGTCCAGTGTTATTTATTATTATTATTATTATCCTACATCAAAAAAATATATATTGTTAGTCTTTGGTATCTATAACTTTGAAATATCGATCGATTTATATTACAGTGTTCTTTCTTTACCTTCACATAAATTTGAGCTACTGTACCGTCCGATTTTACCACCACTGTGGCATCTCAACGGATTCTCCTTCGGAATGCACACAGCGTGCCAATAAAATCAGAACAATGGACCATTAATTGATAAATCAAACGCCCGGTTTTCCGTTACGCCTGGCACATTGTAAAATAATTTATGACATTTTTTTTATTTAGACAATGTACCATAACCTCTAATATACTCGGACAAAGTTCGCAACGAGTATACCTACCTATTTTTTTTATGGATGATAATGAAATGGTGCGCCCGCCTGCGCTAACGGTTTACGCTGGCGGGGCACCAGTGGAGGATGATAATCGTATCACCACTGATCACTGATCTGATCGTCTGAACAGTAGGTAAGATCAGTTAGCAATTTGTAGCCAATTCACAAGGAATTTATCATGATACTTTCTAGGAGGACGCGTGGACGTGAACTTGACTTATTTATATCAATATGAGGTCAACTCAGTTAGCCTATCGAGACATATTCACCAAGAATTTATCACTATGCTTTCCAGGAGGAACAGCGTGGAAGTCAACCTGACACGGTACATTGCTAGCAATGTGGTCAATAGTCCACATTACTAACAATCCCTTCCCCCCCCCCCCCATACCTACCTATTAGAGATTCCCTCAGAGTAGCTCCTATCGTAGTAAAAGTGAGAGAAAGTCGCTTAAGCTGGTATGGCCATATCCAAAGACGCGAAGATGACTACGTAGTTATGAACATGCTCAAGATAACAAACTCGACCAGAGGTAGAGGCAAGCCAGGCCTTGGTGGAACAATATTAAGAAGCAAATGGACCAGGCCAACCTCACTCTCACTCACTCAGCCAACGCAGAACAAAACTTAAGTAAAAACTTAATAGTATATAAAATAGTAGGTTTTTATAATCATAAAACTTATTTGAGTCTCATTCAGAGAAAACTTCCACTAACATAAAAATATCATAGACAAGATAGTCTAAAATATAAAAACGATATGTAACAAAACATGATAAATGGCCATGAACTAAAACGATAAATTGTCTGCGACACACAGCGGTCTGTGAAATAGCCACAATCAATTTAGGAGCAGGGCGGGGGTGCGCTAAGTGATGAGGGGAGGGGGTAAATTGCTCTCTAATGACCAGCGTCGGCCAAGTGGCCGTGCTCACTTCACACAGGACAGTCCACTAGACTAATTAAAGAGACACAGCATCTATTCTAGTTTTATTGCGATGCAATGAGCTGTGTATGAGATATCTTATAAGTATATAAAATTCTCGTGTCAGTTTTCGTTCCCATACTCCTCCGAAACGGCTTGATAGATTCTCATGAAATTTTGTGAGCGTATTGAGTAGGTCTGAGAATCGGCCAACATCTATTTTTCATCCCCCTAAATGTTAGGGGTAGTCCACCCCTAATTTTTTTTTTATTTTAAGGCAAAACAACGTTTGCCGAGATAACTAGTTTCATATAACTTTAATGCCCCAAAATAATGTGTACATATGGCGGACTTAATACCTTGCGGCGTTATCTACGAGGCAACCATATCTATCGTTATCTACCATGTGTGGTGCAGAGAAAGATTGTTGGCGGTGCACTAATATAAATGAGATGAAGCAAAATATTTATACCTACATGAATTTCTATAAAAAAATAATATACATACGATCTGATAATTAAATTATACGTACAGTCTCAAAATGAAAGTAAGAAAAAAAAGAAAATATATATAGAGAGAACTATAGGAAAATAACAGAAAAATTTCACATTAAGGAGAAGGACAGTAAAAAGAAGTTAATATGCAAATTGATTAAAATACCATGATGATGGTTTAATAGCTAAATTAAACCAATAGATAGATATAGATTAAGTACATCTTTTTTTAAGTTTGGCAAAATGTTAAATGGCTGATAGAATCCCGATGTATAGTACCTACCTACTAGCGACAACAACGTCGGCTGATCTGCTTAAGAATATTTCTATGCTGTAGACAAAACTACTAACACTTTTTGTCTTCTTGAATTGTATTGAATTCAAGAAGTAAATCAATCTTGAATCACTTGACGTTACTGCAAGAAACATAGGTTAATAAACAACTCTCATAATGTTATCTTAAAAATATTATAACCGCGAAATTTTGTAAGTATGGATGGACGTTTGTTACTATTCCACGCAAAAACTACTGAACGGATTTTGTTGAAACTTTACAGTGATATAGCTTATACATCAGAATAACATATAGGATAGATTTAATACGGGTGAAGCGAGCACAGCTAGTATCTAATAAAACAACGCAAGCATGTTCGAGGAGAATTTTCCTAAATAAAACAAGTGTAGAACCCACATCAAACGTAGCACAAAACGATGAATTTGTACTAAGCGCTGACACTGGCAAAACATTTTGATCACCACCAATTACTAGTGTACACTGCGTCCGCAAGCATCACTCTCTCTATCTCGCTTAGAATCGTTGTAATAGCATACGTGTGTCCCGTTTCCTCGGCACACAAAAGTCTTCTTAATCATTCTCCGCTCTACAGAAAAAGGTTATATCTTAATATGTTTATTACAAAGACTCAATTTTATGATGAAGGCTATAAAGTTCAATATGGCTCAGCAGTACTCCGGTAAAGTAAAGAACAACTATTTCCACAAAATGGACCGTAATGACTACATAACTAAGTTAGATTTCAATAGGCCGGTTAAGAATTTGAGCCTTAAAGGAAATAGACTGTCCCGATAATGATAGTAGTATTACGACAATGGTAATAAAGCTTATATTCGCTCGGCTTGGGTAAGCTATTAATAAAATAAAATTACACTTTGACTACACCCCGTATGTGGGCGTGGCGGGCAAAGCCGTCGACAAACGTGAGTACGTCGCGAGTATGCTCCGGCGATAGCACGTGTGGCGCGTTAACAAAATTTGAATTTAGAACAATAGTGTTGTGTTGTTAAATCTTCTTTCGACTCAAGTTATTATGACATAGACAGTGAAAGACTTATAAAAGCAATATTTTTTTAATCGAATAAGTGCGATGGAATCAGATATAGGAGAAACACAGACTCAAAAAAAAACACCAAAACCTTTCTCAATAGAATCCATAATCGGTACAGATAGAAAATCACCCGACATTGATATAGAGAATAACCTATCAGAACATTCTAGAAACTCCGAAGAAGATGACACTGAAAGGTTAGAGGAAATCAACCGGATGCGTTATTATTTTAATGCGCCATTTCTGCAGCAGAGCGGTGTTAGTTTCCCTTTTCTACTAGGTTATCATGAACCTTGGTTATCGAGGGTTTTTAACTCTAGTCAGGGTGCAACAGTGACGGAGAATAAAGAAGAAGAGAAGAGAGATAGCCCCGTCAGTGTTGGCAGTGAGGTGGAAAGCGACGGCGGCGAAGATAACACTCAAGGTGATACTTTTTTATCCTTTAAATTAACCATAGACAAATTATGGTACCTAACTAAGAATAAATTAAAGTGCTATTCACTTTTTAAAGCGCTATTTAACATAGTTCAGGACGATATTTATTTATTTAGGTAGTTTAGTATAGTATTGTATTTATAAATTGGCAAGCTTTATGCCATAAGGCATTGTTTACCAGTTAACCATTAGGTAGGAACAGAAAGCGGTTGAAGGGCAGTGGTATAGGTACATAGATCTTCAAAAAATTTTCGTATATATAAATACTAATATTATAGTATAAATATATAATATATTAATGAAAAATATTGTACCCAACTTAAAAATAAAGGCAAGTTTGTGATTATTCTAAAGAAATTTATCTAGAATGAAAATTAAGTACCTAAATTTTTTTAGAACGGTAGGTACCTATACTAACGATTCATAAAAATTGATGTTTTAATATATTTTGTAACTGATTCGGTATTTACCTAATATCTGTATAAATACTGAAGCAATAAATGAATTTGATTTGAAATCATAAATTAAATTTTTAATTAATAACTAGGTAATTAAATAGACATCTTTATTCATATAGGTACACTTAAAATGAACCCTTTTTTTAAAAGTCATTTTTTATAGCCTATTATTTCATGTAATGTTTCATTAAAATTGATTCAGTAGTTTTTTCATGATAAGTAGCAAACATCCATCCATCCACACGTTTATAATATTCGTAAGATTATATTATCCAACATTACCTACATTTTTTAAACATTATGTGAAAAGATACTGACGAATAGCAATAATTTTGTAGGTAGGAGTAGATCATCAAAGTAGATGCTTTCACTATCAAATCCTTGAAGCGCCGTGCCGTAAACAAATAAGTAAAACAACCTGATAGGTAGGTACCATAGTCTAATAAACGATAAAGTTCGCATTTTAAACTAAATAATAAATACCATTTACCTACATACATATATTATAATACGTTTAATCGACAATTAAATAGTAACCGAATTAACGCATCACATCACTAATTGAATAGCTAATGATTGCGCAATAGCAGTTTCGCGCCATTTGGAATTAATAATTTATGTTTGAATTAGGTTATATTTTATAAACAATTGCTGTATTTATTATTTTGAAGGTTGTTTTTATGAGAGTTATGGGTACTATACAATTGACAGAAATAATTAAATACAATTTTTGTAATACAATAGAGATTTACATAATGTGCATAGAAAACAATCAGACCGAATAAACAATCTTGCTAATCAATACAAATGTTTGTACCGTGTTGTATGGAGACGATCCCACAACCATCGGAATTAAAAACGTGTACTTAACCACGAGATCACTAAGGCTGTAAAATGTCGAAATGCCATGGTGTACCAGCCTACGCTAACGGTATACGCTGGGCAACAGTGGAGGACGATAAGATGAGCTCTATAGATGATTTATCACGATGTGCTAACTGACCTAACCTCATGCTCATCTTATCATCCTCCACTGGTGCCCCGCCAGCGTATACCGTTAGCGCAGGCGGGTGCACCATTCCATTATCATCCATAATAAAATATATAACACATACCCATAAAATATAGATGAATTGTTGAGAATTTCTTTTTGGCAGTAGTTTGAAAATAATTACAATTTCTTACATGGGACTTGCCAAATCGATTACAAAAGAAGAAAAAAATCGACAGAGTATTCGAGAAAACTATCTACTCATAACATTGCTGAACGACCTTTTATTTTTTTAATATAATTTAATAATAACATAAATATCTAATTATTTTAATTAAATAGAAATAAAAAAATGTACCTACTAGAACAATGAACCTAATACTAAAAACTTTAAATAATATAACATAATAACTTAATTAACATTATAAATATAGGTACTAGTGACTTCGTCCGCGTGGAATTTAACTTTTATTTTTCTAAAATAAAATATTTTTTCTAATATAAAAATAGCCTAAGTTACTCCTTACTACATCAGCTATCTGCCAAAAATAGTCTCGTCATAATCGGTCCAGCCATTTCAGAGATTAGCAGGAACAAACAGATCGATAGACAGACAGACAGACATACAAATTGTAAAAACTGTTATTTTGTTGTATGTACCGTATTTATATTCATATGTAGGTATGTAGTAAAAAACGATTATTTCAATATTACAAACAGACACTCCAATTTTATTTATATGTATAGACTAGCTACTCACCCCGGCTTCGCCCAGGTCTACATGTAATATACATATAAACCTTGCTCTTGAATCGCTCTATCTATTAAAAAAAACCGCTTCAAAATCGTTGCGTAGTTTTAAACATTTAAGCATACATAGGGACGGACAGACAGCGACAGCGACTTTGTTTTATACTATCTAATGATAACTAAAAGACATTATGTGTAAATATATTTTAGTATTGGTTTTTACTAGAAATAGTGTGTGTATAAAGTAATCTGCAGGATTGCTTCTCGCTTAATTCAGCAGCCAAGCTGCTTTTGTGTACACAATTTCGATGTAATGTAGAGACATAGCATCTCTGTGCATTTTCTAACATATATAGCACACTTATTATAATACTGGCGTAACTCATAAATAACAAATTTTGGAAAGTCCACTTTATAACTGTGGAATTATAGTCTAATATCAAAAATTTCAAATTTCTTAATTAGGTACACCAGTATTGTACTAGATATGTGATATACTTACCTAAGTATATCACAGAGAGTTCTATAGTTCTATTCACGGATTTTTATAGCCTAACGAACAAACGAGTTTGAGCCCCATCTGATGGTAAGTGATTACCGCCGCCCACGAGAAACTTCTTGCTACCCACAACCACATTGTGGAATCACCTTCCCGCAATGGTATTTCCGAACCGATACGACATTGAGACCTTCAAGGAAAGAGTATATTCCTTCTTAAAAGGCCGTCAACGCACTTGCATTTCCCCTGGTGTTGCGGGTGCTCATGGGCGACGGTAATCACTTACCATCAGGTGAGCTGCATGCTCGTTTCTTCTTATTCTATATAGTGGATATGTACCTTATGCTATAAAAAAAAAGATATACCTACCCAGCAAAAGCATAGCTATGTAGTCTTTCGAAATAGTAACGCATCAGTGATACCAAGTGGGATCACTCCCGTGTGACCATAATATCCGTGATGCTGTTCATATATGGACATCATTTGCCACTTACCATCAGGTGTTGTTTGCCAATTACGTAAAAAAAAGTTAGAAAAAAAGTTACTAAGCAGATGTGACAATTTCTGTTTACAACAATCGGTTCTCGCGCTCGTACCGATGTGAAATTTCACGGTACAGATGCGAATTGAGTGGCGTGAACGATTTATATCAAGGAACCAGAACTAATCGGATATTATCGGTTTTCTATCACTATTTGTATCGATGTATTGACTTTGTAGACACGTCACTTTACTACTGTTGGCACTTTAGATGTGTAGTATTTGCACCTTTGCTTTGATTTTTGTCTATTTTTTTGGTAAAAAAATAAAATTAAAGTGTTCGTATATATAATAATTAATAAGTGTAGTGTAGTTAACGTATATATAATAAGTAATAAGGGTAGTTTGTTTTTTAATCTCGGAGACAAGTTTTATATTAGGTTATTAGGACTATTAAATAGAGTTGTGGCACTACCGAAAATGAATATTAATTACACATTCATATTAATAAAATAAAAAAAACATTAAGATATAACAAAATAATAATAAATACAAAGCGGCAATGGAGCCGCTATTATCTGTAGCTCAGTAGATATTTCATCATCCACTGATCCATATCATCCCTCACATCTAAGCTTACTCTCCTTTAATCTAGGCATCATGTGTAGATCACACGATTACATTTATACAATTTATATGTTTACATGTGAGAGGATTCTTGTCAAAATTTACAATACTTATACTAGTGATCACCGAATGGTCATTCATCATCATCTCAGTCCGGAAGACGTCCACTGCTGGACATAGGCCTATCCCAAAGATCTCCACGACGATCGGTCCTGCGCTGCTCGCATCCAATGCCTTCCAGCGATCTTGACCAGATCGTCGGTCCACCTTGCTGGAGGCCTTCCCACGCTGCGTCTTTCGGTCCGTGGTCGCCACTCGAGTACTTTACTGCCCCCACGGCCATCTGTCCCATGGGACAGTATTTGACGATAATTCATTTAAATTATAAGTTTAAATGAATTATTAAGGTTCTTTTATCTAAGACTATACTTCTATGCGTGTGTTTGTCAAATGCATGTGTGTAATGATTTTTTTTTCAATTTAATGTATTGTTATGCGTAATTAAAAAAAACAATATTAGTACTCTATATAAACTATAAGTGTGCTAAATTTCATACTCCTCTGTCCGCACAATTTTTATAAAGGGGTACAAGGTTATTGCTTCATGTATTGATACGTTGATTAAATAGAAAAATCATGTTTTTTTTTGTTGATTTAATTTAATTTATGCGTAATTAAAAAAACAATATTAGTATTCTGCACTCTATATATTAATATATAAAATTCTCGTGTCAGTTTTCGTTCCCATACTCCTCCGAAACGGCTTGACCGATTCTCATGAAATTTTGTGAGCATATTGAGTAGGTCTGAGAATCGGCCAACATCTATTTTTCATCCCCCTAAATGTTAGGGGTAGTCCACCCCTATTTTTTTTTATGTTAAGGCAAAACAACGTTTGCCGGGACTGCTAGTAAACTATAAGTGTGCGAAAATTCATACTACTCGGTCCGCGCAATTTTCGTAAAAAGAGGTACAAACTTTTTTCACGTATTATCTATTAAATAGAAAAATTAAATTTTTCAAAATTAGAAGCTAGAATTGCCTGCTTTTTTATAAGTGAATTAAATTAACCACGCCGTCTTAAACATTATGTAAATACTTTTAAAATGATATATAATACTTACAATAGTTATTGTTAATTTTAAATGAACAGTATTTTTTAATATGCTTATTTATTAGATTGA